TTTGGTTTTACAGTTTTATAAAACAGCCTAGATTATTTTGTACACATTCTTTCCACAGACTGATTATCCGTCACGCCTCATATGTCATGAGTTTTAATTGCAGACTTCACTAGTTATAAATTAAATATGTTATTTTAGTAACTGGGTTACCTTGAAAAATGTACTTCACTACATGAGTAGTTAAGCTAATTTTCTTTTTTAGTTAAGCTAATATAATACCTCCTATCTTGCTTTGTTGTAGGAGCTAAATAAAATGTTAAATATAATAAGTCCTGGTAGAAACCTTCATATTTAATACACATTTAAAGCATAGTATATTATTTTACCTTTCTTCTGTCTCAGGGATAATTACATCGATCATTAATTGTAAGAATCAATATGGGGATTTCGCTACTAGTGTTTTTGTTTGTTTTGTTTTTGTTTGTTTCTGTTTTTGTTTTTTGGGGGGGGATGGAGTCTCTCCCTCTGTCACCCAGGCTAGAGTGCAGTGGCATGATCTCCGCTCACTGCAAGCTCCGCCTCCCAGGTTCACGCATTCTCCTGCCTCAGCCTCCCCAGTAGTGGGACTACAGGCACCTAGCACCGCGCCCGGCTAATTTTTTGTATTTTAAGTAGAGACAGGGTTTCACTGTGTTAGCCAAGATGGTCTCCATCTCCTGACCTCGTGATCCGCCTGCCTTGGCCTTCCAAGGTGCTGGGATTACAGCCGTGAGCCACCACGTCCGGCTGCTAACTAGTGTTTTAATTGTCCTATTGCACCAGTAATTGTTTAGAAAAATGATATATTCCACTAATTTAAAAATAATTTCTGAGGAACCTTCATTTTATTCTTTCTCTTTCTGAAATCAGATAAGTACATGATGAATGGTTTCTGCATGCACTAAACATAATGTGCCATTAATCTTGGAGTCTGCTGGGTTATAAGTGCTGTGTCATTATATCAAACTCTCACCTCCATCTGCCCATCAGAGTGTATTACACACCTCAGAGAACTTGAGACAGGAAACCAATATCAAGTGACAGGGTATCAGGACATCTTTGATGTCTGACAATTCCCTCTCCGCCACATAATTATGTTAGGATTCATTTTTATCTCTTTCTTGAGGCTTAATGAATGGCAAATCATTACTAGTTCAAATATGGCTTATGAATTGTTTATCTGATTTTAAAATAAGTTTGAGCAAAATTTGTTCACGAAAAATAAATTTCTGAGTAGAAAATCATTACTTATTATATTGGCAGCTGCCTTTTTTGAATTTCTTTTGTAAGCCCCAGAGAACAACTAGACTTTAAAAGAATAAAAAAGGGAGAGAGAAAAAAAAGAAGAGAGGAGAGAGGGAAGAACAGAACACAATATAAGAGAAAGACTCATGAGAATGAGCAAAAAACTGTATTGGTTTTATTGGACCAAAATTTCCATCTACCTCCTAGTGTACTCAGTCAACGTGAATGATACAGGGTAGCAGAAGAAATGTGTTTAAGACAACAAAACAATAGTTTAGAAATCACAGACGCTTCATAACAGAGAAGGTAGCAAAGGGCAAATTTGCTTTCTCCATCTCCCTCAATCTTTATGCTTCTAGTCCTAATCCAATACTGTCAATATAGTCTAAAGTAGGTTAACAGTGAGAGAATAATGGCAGCATGGTTTCAGAATAACGTGGAATAGTATATAGTAGATTAGCTAGAGGATGTTAAGTACCTGAAAATAAAGACAGAGTGGCACATGTGAACAGGTAAGAAGTGGTGACAAAAGCGATAATGAACAATGACTATAGAAAAGATGCAAAGAACACAAACAGACACTTCTCAAAAGCAGCCACCAAGCGTATAAAGTTCAACATCACTGATCATTAAAGAAATGCAAGTCAAAACCACCATGAGATACCTTCTCACACCACTCAGAATAGTTATTATTAAAAAGTCAAAAACAAACAAACAAACAGAAACAGATGCTGGTGAAGTTGTGGAGAAAAAGGAACACTTTTACATTGTTAGTGGGAGTGTAAATTAGGTCAACCATTGTAGAAGACAGTGTGACAATTCCTCAGAAACCTAAAGACAGAAATATCTTTCAACTCAGCAATCGCATTACTGGGTATATATCCAAAGGAACAGAAATCATTCTATTATAAAGACACATGTACACATATGTTGGTTGCAGCACTAGTCACAATAGGAAAGACCTGGAATCAACCCAAATGCCCTTCAATGATCATCTGGGTCAAGAAAATGTGGTCCATGTACACCATGGAATACTATGCAACCATAAAACATGAACAAGATCATGTCCTTTGCAGGGACACGGATGGAGCTGGAAGCCATTATCCTTAACAGACTAACACAGGAACAGAAAACCAAATACCATATGCAGTGGGAGCTAAATGATGAGAACTCATGGACACACAGAGGAGAACAGCACACACTGGGGCCTATCAGAGAGTGGAGGGTGGGAGAAGAGAAATAATCACGAAAAATAACTAATGGGTACTAAGCTTAACATCTGGGTAATGAAATAATTGGTACAATAAACCCCCATGACACACATTTACTTATGTAACAAACCTGCACATCCTGCAGATGTACCCCTGAACTTAAAATAAATGTTAACAATGAGAAAAGGTACCAGAAGTAGCACTGTTTCTGTCACTTCATACGATATGTTCTGTTATTATGCCCCTTTTGCAAATGAAAAGAATTGTGCAGAGAACCTCAAATACAGGCAAGATGGTGCAGAATTGTTTCTCCATTCTCCTCCTCACAACTAAAACCCTGGAAATAAAGAAGAGGCAACCAAAGAACATTGAATGATGATAAAAAAGAAGCTGAACATGTTTGGGACTCCAGGATTGGAGAAACACAGCAACAGCAGACAGTCTCATATCCAACAAACATGACTTAGACCCAGGATTTCCTGACCTCCTGTATAGCAAAATAAGGTGGGTCAGTACTTTTATTCTTCTCCTGGATTAAAAAAAAAAAAAAAAAAAAAGTTCCACTGACATTATCAGGCAAGCCTGGCACCATGCTGGCCAGGGTGTTGCATCAGGAAGCCCGTTAGATACAAGATATAAGAGACCAGTGGACACACTCCCCTTCCCACTGAGTCCATCCCCTGACTCAGCAAGAAACAATGGGCAGTAGGGCAGCATCATTAAGGGGAATCTGCCATAGCCTTGCAAAAGGACTTGAAGGCATAGGAAAAAATAATAAAAACAAATTGTACAAAATGAACAGAGAATAACTAAATTGTGGACAATTCAAGAGGACAACTCAATTTGTAATTGGAATCTCTGAAGGAGGGGATGTAAATATTAGAAGAAATGTTTTTTTAACTTGGCAGAAACTATTAGCCCCAGGGGGAGAAAGTAATTAAAACTACACTAAAGTACATCAAAATTTAATTGCTTAAAACCCATGACACAGAGAAAATGTCAATAATAGTCAGATTATTAAAAAGACATGTTATACTGAGGGGTATAAAAATTAGAATAAAAGCAGACTTCTCATCACAAACAATTCAACTCAGAAGACAGTGGAGCAACATCTTTTAAGTATTGAAGAAAACAAATGTCATGCTGGAATTCTATCCTCAATCATATGTCTTTCAAAAAGAAATGTAAAACAAAGACTTTTTCAGGCTTATCAAAGGTTAGAGATTTTTTTTAAATATAAAGGGATAACTTTATTAAATATACAAATTCAAGAGCATTCAACTTTTTTAAGATTATGGCATAAGACAGAGCAGATCAATGGTAATGGTTTGTATAGATATATCCTATAATTATCAAACAGATTAGGTAGATATACTGGCCTATCAATGCTCAAAATAACAAAATGAATATATGTCCCTCAACTATTTCTGTATTTTATGACTACTAAATAGGAAATCTGTCAGCTGACCCAACCACCGGACTTTTTCCTATAGGAAGTTTGATATGCTGTCATTGATATATATCATTTCTGAATATAAATCTCTATCTTGGATCCTTTTCTCTTTGCCTACTTCATTATCTCTCTTTCCAACCCACCTAAGACTTAGTCAAAACAGGATACAGAGATCTGGATGGCTCTATGCAGAGGAAAAATCTCCAATAATACTGTCAATTCTGTATTCACTTTTCCTTTCATCAGCTACTTAATTATATCTAAGATAGTGTGAAAAAATATACAACTCAAAAAAGAAAAGCATTTGAACTATCAATCTTCACCTTGGTCCTGCAGCTTCCCTTTATCAACCAGTGTATATATTATTTTAAATTCCCAACTGTAATCACATGCAATAATTAATAAAACATCCAGAAACTTTGTGGTCAGCATCATATAATTTCCAAGGAGAATGTTTTTGGTAGGGACAGAGAAGGAAGAAAATCGAGAAGCCATTAAGAAAAAATGGCAACTCACACTAAAATGCTTTCATAAAGTGTTTTTTAAAAATGGATAAATTTAATTTTAAGTGATACTTTGCTCCATGACCAACATTTCCTCATTGTTTTAGTGTTCATAAAAGGCATAATATGTACCTCTAGAAAAAGAAATTATCTTCTTTACTTACAACATTGTTAGAGCACCAGCACCAGGTTGATTTTCTCCAAAGTATACATAGCTCATAACTCTAAAAAAATTTGCAAATTAAGTCTTTTGATTCATTTAATCCTCATCACATCTGTTAATTTTAATTAATTAAAGCTAAAACTGTTCCTTTTTCTGCATATGTTAGTGAAAGGTAATTAGGGAAACTAAAAATCTGACCTAATAGGAACCCACCTAAAATCTACTTAGGTAGGTTTAATTCAAAGAAGATCATGTTGTTAGTCCCAACAACTATCCCAGGCATTTTAAGTATTCTTAATCTATATTTTAGAACATGTCACCAAACACTAAAATGTTAAAATAAATTATTAATCCTGCTCTGGTCTCTAAACAAGAACTTATGGCTATTACAAAGTATTCCTTTTTATTCTACCTCATAAAAGTAAACATTAAATGAAGACCCATCATCACAAGCTCATATCTTTAAAAAATAGATGCAACAAAATTTCTTCTGCTGTTATTCTTGAAGCTGGATTTAGATCTGGAAGTTTATCTAGCAGGTCATAAGCTTCATCAGGTACCTCATTTCAGGCTTCTAAATTGGTAGTATACTCATCAAAACAACACCCACAGCTATTACTATCCCCCTTTTTAGATGAATTCCCTGAGTATTGTCTTGGAGGTGTTTGTATGAGGTGAGAAGCTTTATGGTCAGTCTTCTCTGAAATAGTTGGTTGATGAGAAGTAGTCCCTTGTATATCACTTGTTAACTTGGGAGTGTTGGAATCCATACCCCTGAGTCTCTCATAGAGTTTTCTCAAGTCTTGTGCTGGAATTTCTTTGCTACATAATATTGATTTCCCAAAAGTTTTAGCAGCTTGGATAGTTTCTCTGGATCCCTGAATTGTCATAATTTGGGCCAAAGCAGTTAAATCATCACTTGCTTTATAAAATGGGTATCGTCCACTAAGCAAAAAAAGAAATATGACACCTGCAGACCACATGTCAATTGCTGTAGTTTGATTGGGGCACTTTGTCAAGACCTCTGGGGCTCTGAATCCTGGTGTACCTACCCTAGGGGCAACCTGCTGATGCCTTGAAAGGCAAATACTACAGACTTTATCTGTTGCATAGCAGTCACAGGTCAGGCTAGCTGGGCAAGAACTGGCAGCTTTCCTCATCACACCACTATTCATAACTTTTGCAGAAATAGCCTTCTTTATTGTTGCTAACTTTCTAGACAGTACATCCACAGTCTTTGACTGCTTCATGAGTTTCACTGCAGGGCTCTCATGTGAAATGGAGCTGTGTATATTGAAATTTCTTTCTCCAAAACAGAGCACTGGACAGAAAGGCCTACAGATCTCTCCTTTCCATCTTTTCCTTGTTTAATCTGAATTTGTGCATTTGTGCAGGGTCTTTTAACAGAAGCTTTTGTGGTGGACTGCTGATCCAGCTCCTTAGGTACTGGGCCACTCAATGGAATCCTGTTTCCTGTGATTATGTGGGATTTGTTTTGTGAACACCTTTCCTGCTGAGCTTCAGAGTGGACAAATTTGAAAAGCTCTATTTTCATATCATGGGTTCCTTGGGCCAAACCAAAGTCTACCAAGGCATACTTTTTCAAGTGCCTATTATATAAAAAATTGCTGGGCTTAACATCACGGTGAACAATACCAAACTGATGGATGCGTTTCAAAGCTTTGAACAGATTAAACATATATTCCCGTACTTCTTGAAAGGAAAGAGAATTCAAAATGGCCAAAAATGACTCACGCTCCAGATATGGCATAGCAATAACTACATGATCATTCTTCCTAAAGCAGTATTTAACTCCCATGACATTATCTTGCCCCCCAGCCACTGTTAGGCGCTGAAGTTCAGCTGCAATTCTTACAGGATGACTTGTTGGAATCAAGTGTTTTAGAGCAATTTTCTCTTCAGGTCCTACTTGTAACTGTGCTGTGGCCAAATTAACAGAGCTGAAAGTGCCTTCTCCAATTTTGTCCTTAATCTTAAACACATTACCAAGCTGTGGTACAGGCTTCTCAATATCTTTTTTAACATCTGCAAGTTTAAAATTCTGTTTGTTTGTTTGTTTTTAAAGAGCCTTCAACCTGAAACCGGTCATGCTGGGGAGAAAAAGCCATTGACTCATCCATTTGAATCCTCAAAGAAGCCTCCATCAGAAGACAATTGGGATGCAAAATGCCAGCTAAGGGGTTATATTCACAGGGGAAGCAAAGCAGGGTTTAAGGGAGTATGACTTCTGTGGCTCCCCAGATGCCTGGGTCACCTTCTCCAAGAGCTCCCCACCTCAGGTTAGAGATTTTTATTACCAGTTACCTATGCTAAAGTAAATACTATAGGGAGTCCTTAAAAAAAACAAAAATTGTATCAAATAGAAATCTGCATTTAAACAGCAAAATAAATAACACTGGAAATGATCATTACATGTATAATTATAAACATTATTTCTAAATTTTAAAAGTTTTTAAGTATAATTAATCATTTAAAGGAAATAAAAAAGGAATGCACTTTAAAATATATGACATGTATGGAAATGTTATGACAACAGAAGAAAGTTTTGGGAAGGAGAAACAAAAATATATCACTGTGGTATTCTAATGCACTGTGTAAGGAAGTACATTATTGCTTGAAAATAGACTGTGATAAATATGCATATGCACTATATAAACCCCAAGGCAACCACTGAAAGAACAAAACAAAAAGTAATAGCTAATAAGTAAAAAGGGAGATATATGTAATAATAAAAAATACTTGATTTTTTTTAAGAAATAAAGGAACGAAGGAAACGAAAAAGGAAATAATAAATGGGAAAAATACAGCAAAATGGTATATCTAGATCAAATATCAATGAATGCATTGATTAAAAATTATCTAAACATCAAATTAATAGCAGAGTCATTCACATTATATGAAAAGTAAACTCCAACTCTATTATTCTTGCAGAAAACCAACCTTAAGTATAAAGACAAAAAGAAGTTTAAAACAGAAAGATTGAAAAATGTATCCCATTTCAACACTAATGAAAAGCAATCTAGAATTTCTATATTAATATGAAACAAAGTAGTTTTCAGAGAAAAGAATACTGCCAGGAATGCAGTGGGCCATTTTTTAAAGTAATAAAGGAATCGATTTGTCATGAGGATTTAACCCTAAATGTGTATTCATCTAATAATAGAGTTCAAAATACACGAATTGAAATCTGATAAAAATAGTAATGAAAAGCAAATGAATCCGCAATTGTATTTGAATACTTCAGTACGATTTTCTCAATAATTGATACAATAAGAGAGAAAACAAATAAGAATACAGACTTGAACAGCAATATTAACCAACATGACTAGTTGACAGTTATCAACAACCTTTGCAAAAGCAAAAAAACACACATTCTATTCAAGTCTTTGTTGAATATGTTCTAAGATAGCCAATATTCTAGGCAATAAAACCAAAATCTGTTTTAGTCAAGGCTGTCCAGAGAAACAGAACCAATAGAGCTAGCATGTGTGTGTATTTGTGTGTACGTGTGCACATAAAGTGGGAGAGGATAGAGAGAGAGAAAGAGAGAGAGAGAGAGAGAGAGAGAGAGAGAGAGAGAGAGAGAGAGATTATGAGAATTGGATTATAAGGTTGTAGATGCTTCAAGTTCTCCATCTTCAGGGCAAGTCAGTAGGCTGGAAACCCTGGCAAGAATTGATGTGACAGCTTAGGTCCAAAGGAAATTTGGAAGCAGAATCAACAAATGTAATTCTAATCATTTGAATTATGTTTTCCATCAACTATGAAATTGAATTAGAACTCAACAAAAGAAAGAAATCTGGATAATCCACAATATTTGAACACAAAATAAAATATTTCTAAATAAAACTCTCATGTTCATTGCACTATTATTCCCAAGAAGAATTACGTGGAAAAAACCTAAACGACCACTAATGGATGAATGGAAAAATAAAATATTATTTTTAAATATAGGAAGGAATATTATTTGACCTTTATAAAGGAAATCCTGTCATTTGTAACAATGTGGATGAATCTAGAAGATATTATACTAAGTGAAATAAGCCAGACACAAAAGACAAATCCTGCATGATCTCATGATCTGTGGAAGGGAAAACAGTCAAACTCATAGAAGCAGAGAGTAAGAATGGTTGTTGCTATGGATGGCAAGGAGGAAATGGGGAGATATTGATCAAAGGATACAAAGTTTCAGTTATGCAAGACAAATGAGTTCTGGTATTTAGTGTACCTCATGGTCACTAAGTTAGCAATACTTGAAATTTGCTAAGAGGTGTAGAGCTTATCAAATCTGTGGTTCTTACCGTGCACACATACACCCAAAGAGAGGAAATGGCAACTATGTGATATGTTAACTGGTTTGATTATGGTGATCATTTCATATTGCATATGTATATCAAAACATCAGATTATGCATCTTAAATATACACAATTTGTACTTGTCAATTATACCTCAATAAACTGAAAATTAAAAAAAAATGTTTAGAAAAAAATCGATGAGGCCATAATCTCATAATCTCAGCACTTTGGGAGGCCGAGGCAGGCGGATCACCTGAGGTCAAGAGTTCAAGACCGGCCTGTCCAACATGGTGAAACCGTGTCTCTACAAAAATAGAAAAATTAGCCAGTCATGATGGCAGGTATCTGTAATCCCAGCTACTCGGGAGGCTGACACAGGATAATCGCTTGAACGCGGGAGGCAGAGGTTGCATGAGCCGAGATTGCGCCATTGCACTCCAACCTGGGTGACTGAGCGAGATTCTATCTCAAAAGAAAAGAAAGAAAAAAGAAAAAAAAGAAAAAAGGAAAAAAATCAATGAAATTCATAGTGTAAATAGAATAAAAAGAACAAAAAAATCATCTCAAGAATTAAAGGATTTAGAGAAGTCCACCATCCAATCCTGACTAAAACAAATAACAACAAAAACTTCAGAAATATACGCATATAAGCATATCTCTTAAATCTCATGAAAGGCATCTATGAAAGAAACACCTATAGCTAACATTGTACTTAATGGTAAAAGACTAAATCCTTTCCCATTGGGATAACAAACATGGCAAGTATGTGTGCTCTTATGACTTCTACTAAATATTATACTGTAGATTCTGCCTGCTGCAACAAGGAAAATGGATAAAGTAAATCTAGATTGCAAGGAAAAATTAAAACTCTCTTTATTTACATATTCATAAGCAAACTCGCTAAACTGACCTATTTGTTCTAGGAATATGATAGTAGACTCAGCAGAATTTTTTCTATGGATCATGACACACAATGGGGAAAAATAGTCTATTTAATAAATGGTGCTGGAAAAAAATATTCATACGAAGAAGAATGAAATTGGACTGTTATCTCACATTGTATACAAAAATCTACTCAAAATAGACTACAGGCTCAAATGTAAGACCTCAAAATAGATTAAAGGCTTAAATGTAATACTTGTTTTTTCTATACATCTGTAGAAAAAATTCTGCTGAATCTGCTATCATATTACTAGAACAAATAATTCAGTTTAGCAAATTTGCTTAATATTCTTAATACTGTGAAATTGAATATTATGAAATATTAGTGACGTAAATTAAAGAAGAACTAAATAAATGAAGAGATGCAGTGTGGTCACAGATACGAAAATTCATTATTGTTATGGTGCCAGTTCTCTCCAATTGGTCTATAAATTCAGTGTAATCAGAATTAAAACCCCAGCAGTCTTCTTTGTAAAAATCGACAAGCTTATTTAAAAATTAATGTGGAAATGCAGAAATAATTTAATAAAGAAGAACAAGGTTGAATGAGCTACATTTGTGATTCCAAGATTCACTATGAGGCTAAAGTAATCAAGAGAGTGTGACATTAGCATAAAGAGAGGCACCAGTTCAATAAAACAGAGAAGAGGACCACAAAACATAGCCACACACCTACATGGACAGTTGATTTTTTAAGAAAGGTACCAGGATCAGTGAATGAATATAAAGTGTAAGATTTTCAACAAATGGTGCTGGAACAATTGAATAAATAGGAATTTTAAAAAGCTTCATTCACAACATACACAAACATTTATTTGACATGGATTATAGCTGTAACAGTCAAAAATACAAAACTTCTATTAAAAATGACAAGAAAAATTTAGTGACTTTGGATTTGGCAGATATTTTGATAACATAATCAATAAAAGGGAAAAAGTGTTAAAATACTAACATATCCAAATGGGAAGAGAGGAAGTCAAACTATCCCTGTCTGCAGATGACAAGATTCTATATCTAGAAAACCCCATAGTCTTGGCCCAAAAACAAAGAATGATAAAGAACTTCAGCAAAGTCTTAGGATAAAAAAATCAATGTACAAAAATCACTAACATTCTTATACAACAATTGTTAAGCTGAGAGCCTAATCAGGGAGCAATCCCATTCACAATTACCACAACATATATAAAATGCCAAAGAATACTGCCAACCAGGGAGGCGAAAGTATCTCTACAAGGAGAACTATAAACCACTACTGAAAGAAATCAGAGAGGGTCACAAACAAATGAAAAAACAATCCATGTTCTTAGATAGGAATAATTAGTATCATTAAAATGGCCATATATTTTGTGGCAATTGTGAATGGGATTGCATTCCTACTTAGGCTCTCAGCTTGACTATTGTTGTTGTATAGGAATGCTAGGGATTTTTTTATATTGATTTTTTATCCTAAGCAGTTTTAATGCTATTCCTATCTAACTACCAATGACATTGGTAGTTTCAATGCTATTCCTATCTAACTATCTAACTAAATTAGCTATTCCTATCTAATTACTTAACTAAATTAACTACTATCTAACTAAATTAGTAGTTTCAATGCTGTTCCTATCTAACTACCAATGACATTCTTCACAGAACTAGAAAAATGAATTTTAAAACTCATATGGAAGCTGGGTGTGGTGGCTCATGCCTATAATCCCAGTATTTGGAGAGATCAAGGTGGGCAGATCACCTGAGGTCAGGAGTTTGAGACCAGCCTAACAGGTTTACTAGAAACCCTGTCTTTACTATAAATAGAAAAATCAACCCCACATGGTGGTTGTAGTCCCAGCTACTCAGGAACCTGAGGCAGGAGAATCACTTGAATCTGGGAGGCAGAGGTTGCAGTGAGTGAGTGGAGATCATGCCACTGCACTCCGGCCTG